CGTGTTGCCGGGGAGCCAAATGTGCATCACTGATCTGATCTAATCTTTCGTCGTGTTTTAACCGTTGTGATAATTTAAAAAATAATCTCTTAGATATGTGGAAATCAACAAAAACTTTCTTGAACAATAATCGTGACATCATACTCACCAGAGCTGATAAGGGAAATGTGACGGTGGCAATGGATAAAGCAGATTATAGACAAAAAATGCTTACAATACTGGGGGATACTAATACATATGAAATCGTTAAAAAAGACCTTACTAACGTACTTTCTAGGAGGCTGAAAGAATTACTGACTAGATGGAAGAAAAAAGAATTGATCTCACAACATATTTATAATAATTTATATGTGAGTGATGGGGTGTTGCCTGGTGCCTATGGACTTCCTAAGATCCATAAGCCGGACACACCTCTCAGAATTATTATCTCTGCTATTGATAGTCCTTTATATCAGTTGGCTGTCTTTTTACATAAAATCATTTATAAAATCAGTGTTAATTCTTTCAGTCACATACAAAATAGCTTCCACTTGACTGAGATTTTGAGGAAGACAGAGTTGGTAGCAAATTTTGGCTTAATTTCACTGGACGTTGTTTCTCTCTTCACGAACATACCGATTGATTTAGCTTTGGACAGCATCTCTCATAGATGGTCATCAATTTCAAAAATTATTAATATTTCGAAAGATGAATTTTTTATTTCTTTACGGCTAATTTTTGACTCTGCTTATTTTTCCTTTGACAACTGCATTTACAGACAAAAATGCCTATGGGCTCACCTTTGTCAACGGTAATTGCGGACATTGTTTTACAGGACATAGAGATGAAAGCTTTGAACACCTTAGGGTTTCATATCCCTTTTTATGTTAGATATGTTGATGACATTGCCATGGGAGTACCCCTTGACAGAACTTCGGAGATTTCACGGGTGTTTAACTCATTTCATCCTCGTCTGCAGTTTACGATGGAGATAGGGGGGAGTGAATTGAACTTTTTGGATGTCACGATTATAAAAAATAATAATACGTTGGAATATGATTGGTACCATAAACCCACATTTTCTGGGAGATATTTAAATTTTCTT